TTGTTACATACATATTCATTCTCTATGTCACGCCATTTCAATGTTGGTGTTTTACAAACAGAGAAATTTCTTTAATACCATGTTCTTCATATAACCTCTTGAAATTCGAATCAGTGTACTCTGGCCCATTATTTGATCGTAAATACTTGATTTTTCTGTTTGATTCTCCATCTCAACCTTCTAGAACTTGAATTTGGTAAAGACTTCATATTTTTGTTTCATACAATACATTCAAACCTTGTCAGAAAAATTATTTGTGAAAGTCACAAAATACCTGGAACTAACCATAAAAACCTCTTTGATAGGTCCTGACACATCATAATGCACATAGACTTTAATTGTCTTTTTTGTGCTTTTTCAGTCTTGAACTAAACATGGCAATATTTTTCGAGTACCCAATACTTTCACAAATCCATTTTTCTTTCTGGTCTCTTATGAATTTCCTCCATCCCATGTTCACTAAGACGATCCAAACGCATATGTCAAAGTTTGGTTGCACCATTATCAGACTCAACAGATGCAACATCATCTACAATAGTGTTCTCAACCAATTTATAGATGTTACATGTAGTCCTTCTTATTGTCATCACACTCAAGGAACCCTTGCTAACCTCATAATATCTTTATTCCTATCAGACATGTAAGAGAAACTATTTTCTTGTAGAATATCTAGGAAAATCAAGTTCTTCCTTTACTTTGTAATATATCAGACATCATTCAACTTTCACACACCAGCATTATCTATGGAAATGTTAATTTGTATCATTCTAGTGATATTATATGTTTTATCATCACTCAAATAAACAAATCCAAAATTATCTGACTTGAATGTAGTGAATCATTCCTGGTGAGGCGTCATGTGATAAGAATAACCAGAGTCAAGAATCCACTCATTTGTCTACTTGTTGGGTGAAACACTCATGTCTATTTCCCTACCAAAATCACCAGTTTGAACCATATTTGAAGAACTAGATGAGATACACTTTCTGTTTGGATACTTTCTGTTTGGACACTTTCTCTTCTAACGCCCAATAAATTTGTAACTATAACACTTAATTATTTTCCAATTCTTGGATTTAGACCTATTTTTTCTATAACTTGCTTTACCCTTGTTCCACCTGCATTCTTGATTTCCCTTCACATACAGACCGTCATCTTGAGCCCCTTCTTCTACACTTTGTCTCCTTTAAGAACGAGACAAAATTTTAGTAGTAATACATCAAGACTGGTAGTATTTTTTTGTAGGTAAGAGTAGTCACCAAGTGGTCATAAGAACTAGTATCGAGCATGAAAAAATAATTGTCTTATTTTCTTCATCAAACTTCCCCCATGGCTTCACCAGATAGATTATTATTATTTTTTTAAATGTTGACATGTTTTTACAAATCGGATCCTTCCTGCATCTTTAGATTGTTTAGTCGCTGCTTCGCGAACATTTTGTTCATTAATATATTTAACATATATTAACTCTCCAATTTGTCTCAAACCTTCTACAACTTCATTAGATCCAAGATATGATACATCACCTCCTGTAAAACATATAAGAAAATCAATAATGTAGTACCCTCCTTCATCTCTTCTCAATAAGTATCCTCAATGTTGGTCGGTTTTGTCTCATGCAACGCCTTCTATAAACTTTGTCGAGCCAACATATTCTTAACCCTCATATTAGAGAAACCAAGTCCCACAAATCGATAATTTGGGTCGCCTACTGTTTATATCCACACACCAAGCCCAGTAGTGTTGGACGTGAGAGGGTGTATTGGGAAAAATATAAATTCCATATTGATTAAAAACAGAGTTCATAAAAGGTTTATATAGAATGACACCCCTCACCTTACAAGGAGATTTTGTAGGGTTGAGTTAGACCCAACCATTTTTTTATCATGGTATCATGAGTCTATTGATTCACGGTCATCCATTATTTACATGCGCATCAAGCCCAATAGTGTTGGGCGAAGAGGTGTATTGGAATAACCAAGTTCCATATATCGATAATTCTGGTCACTCACCGTTTATATCCATGTACCAAACCTAATAATGTTGGGCGTTAGGGGGTTTATTAGGAAAAACCGAAGTCCAATATTGGTTAAAAATAGAGTTCAAAAAGGATTTATATAGAGTGACACTCCTCACCTTACAAGCCTAATTTGTACGGATGAGTTAGGACAAACTCTAATTCTATCACCTCATTCTCCATTATCTGAAATTATTCATCATGTCGAAACTTTTCACCTCAATCTTTGCACTAGAGTTAATCGTCATTCGATACCAATTGTTAGAACAATAACCAAATATGATCCTGAGATACATCTCTGTATGGTTTTTTGTGTATTCGGAGAGGCATCTCTGAAATGTCCCTTGATAGTTTTTGAAAGCATGGTAAACACATAGGAGAAATTATTTTAGAGATGCATCTTCAGAATCCTCCCTGAATCATATCAGAACAACACCATTGTCCAAATATTTAATTTTTGTGAGACCGGCTTATATTAAGATAAAATCAAAGTAAAATGAAGTTATATTGAAGTTAAAGGAGGGTTAAAAATCATACATTAATTAAAAAAGTCAAGATAGTTCATACATAACAATAAAATATTTTTCCGAAAATACAAAATACAATAAAATATCTCAATATAAATTATTGGGTATGTCTAAATGTTTGCCTCCTCTGCATGTATTGTACGATATTTTATAACTCGGAAACCATGCATTCCACTAGGGACAACTGAGGAGTGTCATCCTCAAAGAGTCATAAATTTATGATTGTTTTACCCATCTCCGCAATATGTCAATATATTGTTGTCAGGCTCTCTGTCTGCTCATCTCGAACCTCAAGTACCTCCTAATTAGTTAGCCTATGAAGTTCTCCAGATAGAACCATGTCAATTAGCTCCCATTACAAGTCCAATGTACATGAGCTAGCTCCCGACGATACTCCTCTAATACCAGGTGACTCTCAAAATCATTCAGTATCATCTGTAGATCTCTACGGAGGACGGTGAGAGGAGCAGACTCATGAGGAGGTCTCAGAAAAATTTGCAAGTAGCCAAACTAACCCATCACTTGCTCAGGCAGATAGAGATACATAGATAAGAGATGACCCACTGTTGAAGCGGTAAAGAGGCAAACAAAAGTCTCGCCCGACGCTCAAAATAACATTTTTTCACGCTTCTTGTGCATTTCCACGCTTCAGGGTCGCCTCTGGCTCGCCCGACGAGCTCGGGGCGAGGTTGATAGAAAAATTCAACATTGTTTCGGTCATAATTTGAGAACCGTAATTTTGATTTACGCACAATCAGAAGCATTGGAAAGCTTATTCAATGCTCTATCTAAAAATGACAATATCAATACTTGAATACCTACAAATATGAGATAAAAAATTAAACTCAATGATATTTACACGACAATGAAATATATACACTATAACGTAAAATGTACTGAATATACACTAAAATTGAAGTTTATTGACAAAAAATAAATGAATTAAACCGATGAGTGCTAATTATTCACTCAAATTCACAATATTTTAGCACTTAACACCCATATCTCAACCAACTGGAATATAAGGAAATGACATCAAACTGACGTGTCTCGCGGGTGACTCTCGTATGGGCAAAAGCCAACGCCATCTGGTTCCATACGATCAACAGAGACTTTGAATGGCTCGACCGTACTATTCCCCATATATGAAACAATAGTGGCTACACGGGGCCAATCTTCTATGTATTTAGGCGCAACTTTCCACCCAATGATGCGAGGGAAGTGGGAAATAACCCTAAAAATGTTTCGAATATAATATTAATAATAAGTGTAACAAATGAATTACGAAAATATTAGTAACCAGAAATTATCCTAACAATTCCATAAAACTCATTGCATGTTGTTCTAATCTACCGAGTTCGTTTACAAATCAAAAATCTAACAACTAGTGTATCCTAAAAAACTAACTACAAATCAAAATACAAAAAGAAAATAAAATTTGAAAAACTTAACAAAATGAAATTGATTAATGAGAATGAGATGTTTTGATTATGAGATGGTGGAAAGGATGAGAAATAGCTTCAGTGATGCTTCAATACAATGAAGAGATGCTTCAATAGTTAGAAGAGGGAGAGCCCAAATGTGTTTTTTTGAGATTTTTTTTAGAAAATGGAGGAAGAGGGAAGTGTTATGACACGGGATATGTATCAAATGTGTTTTTTTGAGATTTTTTTTAGAAAATGGAGGAAGAGGGAAGTGTTCTGACACGGGATATGTATAAAAGCGTCTGGAGATGTATCTCCAGACCACCAACATGTGTTTTGAATAAATTGTGTTTGCGGAGATGCACTTTCAGATATGCATCTTCGAATTAAATTTTAACATGAGAGGAGAGTTTCTTTAAATTGATTTGAGAAATAGTGAAAATAAATGTGTCTGGAAATCCATCTGAATTTCCCAGATACTAGGAACAGTATAGATTTTTCACGGTAGTGAAGGAGCACCCATACGATGAAAAGAACAATTTTTTTTTGTAAAAAGTTTTTGCCACTACCACTTCGACAAATGAGATCATTCTATCTCTTTCCCTTATCTTTCTCAACGCCTCAGCAAAGCTCAGAGAAGCTTCTCATGGATTCGACAAGAATCTAATATGCTTCAAGCTACTAATTATTTATTTATTTTTAAATGGCTGAGGCAAACATACTTCAATAGAAATCAACAGCAAAATGCGCAAAAGAACTTGGTGATAGAAACATTTAAATCTGATTTAAGAATGAGTTTTCTCTTACTATAGAAGTTAATATAATGTTAATAAGACAACAAAAAAAGATAAGGGATGGATTAAACAGAAAGGATTTTGAAGAGAACCAAAATGTTCTACATCCTTCCCTTGCTCTCTCCTTTGCAGTATAATGTTATCTCAAATGTTGCCGCTCTTTACATTTGATTCAAACTCAAATTAATCTGTGTCTATCTTTTTCCTTTGATGAACCTTTCTTTTCTCTCTAATCTCATTAGCTTGAGACAGTTTCTCCGTTGTTTTCCCCTTCTTTCTCTATAGCTTGTTCGTCTTCAGTTCCACTGGCATTTCCATTGCATTCTTGCCTTTGAATATTTTCATCCATTTTACCTTTTGGTGAACCATTAGTATTGTTATGATTAGATTTCCCGTTTTCCTTTATCGACAATGCTGGAGCTCCGACACCTAGGTTCATTTCAGTTAAGGTACCTTGTGAGGGCTGAGATGAATTAGCTGAGCCAGGTGGAGGAAGGAAGACTCCCGTGCCGGGAACAAGGACTCGAGGAGGAGGATGCCTTGGAGGAGCTGTGGTCCATCCCGTAGAGCCAGGTGGGATCGGCACAGATGTAGCAAATTGCATGGGAGTAGCAACTGGTGCCGGCACAAACAATGGTTGCATGCTGTTAGGAGGTGCTTGTAGGGAAGGAGCCGGCAGTACTCCAGTTACATGAACTGCAGAATAATGCTTGGGAGCTATCGCACGATGACTGATATGATTTGGAGATCTGGTTGAGTAATGTGATGTTGCCGGCAAAGCAGCATTGATTGGAAAAGACTTTTTTGGTATAGCCTTTGTGAAAGTAACAATTATGCGTTGTTTTTGAATAGAAGGAATAGCATGTTTGGCAAAGTCGGCTGATTTTCCTTGCATCACTAGAAAGGACCTACAGTTGCAACAGAGTAAATAATAATAAGCCATAATAATCAGCTGTTGAGCTATTAAATATGAGTAAAGGAAAAATAGGCAGCATTATACAGCATAAGTTTTTACAAGGACACCTAGTATTGAGTAACAGTTGAAAAACTATGGGACAATGATAAATAGTCAGTCTCCATATCACATGCCTTATGATTCATGGCAGCAAAAATCTTTTGAATACAATTATCTAAAGGCATGTCTTTCAAGTTACAAGAGCCAAATTATAAGCACAGTAACATGGTAGAAAACAGATGTATCACTAAGAAATAAATACTATCCATAGAAATTGTAACTACAAAGATAAAAAAAATAGAGCTTATTTTGATTGGATACAAAAAGCTAGATAATGACACCTCTAGCTTTATCGAAGTACATTTGGAGATGTTTCAACCAATGAAAGCCATTTTACTCTTCCTAAGTACATGTGTGTTTGGTTTGTGGTGACGAAAATTGATTGAGTGAATGGATTTTGTAAAATTGATTATGGTAAAAAAAATTAGTTGAAGATAAAGTGATTTATGTTTGATAAAACATTCATGCAAAAGTGAGTTGAACAGTAAATTTCAGTGTAAAATTTACGTTTAAACTCAAGCTACAAATCCTAGCTTCAGGCAGAATATATTCTTGAGGCATAATCAATTTTACTTTAGAAGAACCAAACACATCAAAATCAACTAAAAATCAATTCTACATCTCTAGAACTGCTTTCGGCCCTTCCAAAATGGAAACCAAACAATAGACTAATGCAATGAAATTGAAATACCACAATTTACCTGGTTCTATGATTCTCAGAAGGCCCCAAGTACAAATAATAACAATAACAGCATAAACACTAGCATACACAACAAATAAGGTAACAAATATTACCCAGGTACAAGAGAAAGCTTGACACTGCCCCTATAATCCCCATGGTGGTCTGGGACAATTGTCCTCCCGAAAGTCATGTCACATTCAGTCAGGAAAAGCATATAAACAGGCCTTCCAAACCAAGACGGCCAACTGTTTGGCATCGAGTGATCACCCTATACAGATATCAGGTTACATTAGCAAATTTGATAACATGCCAAATTCCCAATATACTCAACCCTTTCCCCAAAACAACATACAAGAAGTTACCTCGTTATAGAAATCCACAACGCAAGCATCAGCCTTCACAGTCATCACTTGTGAGGCAGCCATGCGCTCAATGATATCTTGAAACAAGTTAGGCATAGATTCCACATTCTTATCTGCCAAATTCAATTAGTGAAATTCCATGAGTCATTATTACAGGTAGGGAAAGACAAATAACGTGACTGCAGAGAAAACCATAACTGAAATAGACATATGCATGTCTCTTTCTTTCTCTCTTTCCATTTGAGTGTGAGTGAGTGAGATAGAAAACCTGCCTTTGAACGATGCTGTCACATTATCCGCATCTAGTGGTGCATCAACAATGGGAACACCCAACTGAATCAGCTCCCTTCCATGTCCTCTCATGGGCCTTTTAGAAAACAAATATGTCTGACTTTCTGTTCATAAAACATATGTTAGACCCCTCATAAAGAATACTTATAAGAGGAAGGAGCACCGATAAAGCAAGATAAATGCTGTCAAGTAATAGCAGCAGATAAGCAGTCATGTTAATGGCATCTGTAGCAGTTACAGATTTCTAAAGGCAGCAGTTATTATTATTACTAGAGTAACAATTAATATTAGGAACAGTTACAAAACCTAGGCAGAATAAAAGGGGAAACAGAACTGTGTTCTGATAATCCTGAAGTTGTGAGTGTTAGACACTTGGGAGGGAGAGAACCAAGCTCTCGAATCTTGGTGTGTGTCCTAATATTCTGCACTGTTTTCTATAACTATTGTAAGCATATTATTCTGGTCCTTTGATTGTCCACCAGAATTATCATCAATAAAGTATCCCTATTCTCCAAATTATTTCTGTTCAGTGCCAGTTTCTATCAACTGGTATCAGAGCAGTTTCCTTCCGGGACTGCTTTATGGTATCTACGCAAGGGGAAATGGAGGCCAGATTGGAAATTCTCGAACGTGGATTTGAAGGGTTGTTAGCCATGCGGGAAAAGGTGGAGAAAATCCTTGAAGATGATCGCAAGGAAAGAGTTGAAACTAGCCAGCAAGTAGCAGAATTAACCGCCCTGATGCGTCGCAAACTGCGAACAACACCGGGGAGTCCGAACGACAGTGATGACGAAACTTCTGTACACACTAATCATCCTCGAAAACGCGAAGAACGATGGAGGAAATTGGAGATACCTGTTTTTGAAGGCACTGATGCCTATGGTTGGTTGAACAGGGTGGAACGTTACTTTGACTTAAAGAAGATGAGTGAGGATGAGAAATTACAAGCTGTGATGGTGGCTATGGAAGGCAAGGCACTGGCATCGTATCAATGGTGGGAATTCTCAACGAAAAATCCTACTTAGGAAGATTTTAGGACTGCCATACTAAGAAGGTTCCAGCCAGCAATGATTCAAAGTCCTTTTGAATTATTGTTGAGTCTCAAACAAACAGGGACTGTGGAGGAATACCGAGAACAATTTGAATTGTATGCTGGCCCGCTAAAATGCACAGAGCCATCCTATTTGAAAGGTATTTTTTTTAATGGACTTAAAGAAATTATTAGAGCAGAATTGAAATTGCATCCAATTGAGACATTGTCTGAATTAAAGGACTATGCTCAGAGTGTAGATGAAAAAAATAATTTGCTAAACAAGAGTAATGGTGGAACAAGTTCTAGGAGTAAATCTGGTATCAGGACCTATAATAGCACAAAAACTGTGACATGGGCACCGAATTCTAGGAGTCAAAACCAGGCTGCTTCATCAATTGGTAGCACTACAAGTGACTCTAGAACAAATCTTTCATCTAAAGGGAGAAGTTTTAAGAGGTTAACAGATGAATTGCAAGAGAAGTACAAGAAAGGGTTATGCTATAGGTGTGATGAAAAATTTGGACCAGGGCACATCTGTGCAAATAAACAATTAAGGGTGATTGTGGTGGGCGAAGGTATGGGGGCTGAATCAGAAGAAGATGAAGAAGTAGAGGAGGAAGAATCAGAAAAAGAAGTGAAAACCTTGCAATTGTCTATGTATAGCATCTCTGGTCTTGGTACCAAGAAGTCTATCAAACTCCGGGGAAGAATTGGCGACAAGCAAGTAGTGGTATTGATTGATTGTGGAGCCTCTCGTAATTTTATTTCTTCTGTGCTTGTTAAAGAAGAAAAATGGGCAGTAGAAGAAAAATGGGCAGTAGAAGAAACACCCTCTTACTATGTAGAAGTGGGGGATGGGAGAAAAATCTCTTGTAAGGGAGTGTGTCCCCAACTGAAACTCAGCATGCAAGAGTTGGACATTCAGCAGGATTTCTTCATCTTTGAAGTAGGTGGAGTGGATGTGGTTTTGGGAATGGAATGGCTATCCAGTTTGGGAGAAATAAAAGCAAACTTACTATCAAAATTCCATGTGGTAATCGATATCATGTGTTGAAAGGAGAATCTGAATTATCGAGGGCCGCAGCATCCTTCAGGTCTGTTTTAAAGGCCATGCGTAATGAAGGGCAAGTTTTTCTCTTAGAATACCAGATGCTAAAGGCTGGAACACATTAAGCAATCTCACCGCCTAGCTGGCTGGAAGGAGTTATAAGCAAATTTGAAGAGGTGTTCCAAGAACCAAAGGGGCTGCCACCGTCGAGGAGACAAGATCATGCTATTGTACTTATGGAAGGAACGAATATCCCTAATATCAGGCCTTACAGGTATCCTCATTATCAAAAAAATGAGATTGAGAGGTTAGTAGATGATATGTTAAAATTGGGTGTCATTAGGCCTTAGTGTAAGTCCTTACTCTAGTCCTATTATTCTGGTTAAAAAAAAAGACGGAGGATGGCGTTTTTGTGTAGATTACAGAGCCCTAAATAAGATTATTGTGCCTGATAAATTCCCTATTCCCATTATTGATGAGCTACTTGATGATAGGGGGAGCAAATATTTTTTCTAAACTGGATTTTAAGATCAGGTTATCATCAAATAAGGATGAAGGAAGATGATATTCCAAAGACAGCCTTCAGAACTCATGAGGGTCATTATGAGTTTGTTGTTATGCCGTTTGGACTTACTAACGCACCTTCCACATTTCAATCGTTAATGAATGAAATGTTGAAACCATATTTAAGAAGATTTGTTTTTGTTTTCTTTGATGATATCTTGATCTACAGCAAATCTAATGAGGAACATCATAAGCATTTGCAAGCTGTTCTAGCGCTACTGAAGGAGCACCAACTATTTGCGAATCTGAAAAAGTGCACTTTTGGCCAAACTCAATTAGAGTATTTAGGTCACATCATTTCAGGACAAGATCATGCTATTGTACTTATGGAAGGAACGAATATCCCTAATATCAGGCCTTACAGGTATCCTCATTATCAAAAAAATGAGATTGAGAGGTTAGTAGATGATATGTTAAAATTGGGTGTCATTAGGCCTTAGTGTAAGTCCTTACTCTAGTCCTATTATTCTGGTTAAAAAAAAAGACGGAGGATGGCGTTTTTGTGTAGATTACAGAGCCCTAAATAAGATTATTGTGCCTGATAAATTCCCTATTCCCATTATTGATGAGCTACTTGATGATAGGGGGAGCAAATATTTTTTCTAAACTGGATTTTAAGATCAGGTTATCATCAAATAAGGATGAAGGAAGATGATATTCCAAAGACAGCCTTCAGAACTCATGAGGGTCATTATGAGTTTGTTGTTATGCCGTTTGGACTTACTAACGCACCTTCCACATTTCAATCGTTAATGAATGAAATGTTGAAACCATATTTAAGAAGATTTGTTTTTGTTTTCTTTGATGATATCTTGATCTACAGCAAATCTAATGAGGAACATCATAAGCATTTGCAAGCTGTAACTATTTGCGAATCTGAAAAAGTGCACTTTTGGCCAAACTCAATTAGAGTATTTAGGTCACATCATTTCAGGGGAAGGAGTAGCAGCTGATCCAAATAAACTAATTGTTACGATGGAGTGGCCCATTCCTAAAGATCTCAAAGCACTAAGAGGATTTTTAGGACTCACAGCTTATTATAGAAGGTTTGTGAAGGATTATGGCAAGATAGCGAGACCGTTGACCCAATTGTTGAAAAAAGATTGTTTCCGTTGGAACAACGAAGCCCAAATCGCTTTTGAGCAACTGAAGAAATTGATGGCTGAATTACCCATACTAACAGTTCCGGACTTCTCCAAAGTCTTCACCATAGAGACGGATGCTTCTAACAAAGGATTAGGAGCTGTTTTATTACAAGGTCGACCCGTGGCTTTTCATAGTCAAACTTTATCGGATAGAGCACAATCCAAGTCAGTGTACGAGAGAGAGTTGATGGCCATTGTGATAGCTATTCAAAAATGGAGACATTACTTGATGGGGAGGCATTTCATCATCCTTACGGCCCAAAAGAGCCTTAAATTTCTGTGACCAAAGAGTTCTAGGAGAGGAACAATTCAAGTGGACTTCTAAGTTGATGGGATTCGATTTTGAAATTCAATACAAGCCTGGAACACAAAACAGAGTGGCTGATGCACTCTCTAGAAGGATGAGTTATGCAGCTCTATCCACAGTCCAATTTGACGAATTAGAGGAGTGGGAGACCGAAATTCAAAATGATAAAAAATTGCAAGAAATCATTCAAGACTTGCTGAAGGATAGCCACTCTCACCCTGGATATTCTTTTAGAGAACGGAAGTTGTTTTTCAAAGGACGACTAGTGCTACCAAAAGGGTCTTCCAAAATTCCGAAGCTTTTAAAAGAATTCCATGATTCAGCCACGGGAGCCCACTCGGGATTTTTCAGAACTTATAAAAGAATTTCAGCAATTCTATACTGGGAAGGAATGAGGAAAGACATTCAACAATATGTTGCCACTTGTGAAGTTTGCCAATTGAACAAATATCAGACCTTGTCTCCTGCTGGTCTACTACAACCACTGCCAATTCCTTCTCAGGTGTGGGCTGATATTACAATGGATTTTATAGAAAATGTGATTTTGGTGGTAGTTGACCGTCTTACCAAATATGCTCATTTCATGGCTTTAAGTCACCCTTTTACCGCTAAGGATATTGCTGAAATTTTCATCAAAGAGATGGTTAAGTTACATGGTTTCCCATCAACCATTGTGTCCGATAGGGATAAAATATTTCTCAGCCATTTCTGGTCTGAGTTGTTTAAAATGGCTGGTACCAAGTTAAAATTCAGTTCCGCATATCATCCTCAAACTGATGGCCAAACCGAAGTAGTAAACCGGTGTTTGGAAACCTATCTGAGGTGTCTCACAGGGACTCAACCGAAGCAGTGGACAAAGTGGTTAGGGTGGGCTGAATATTGGTTCAACGCCAACTATAATAGCTCCTTGAAATTGACTCCTTTCAAAGCTCTCTATGGCCGAGACCCTCCCCATTTACTCAAAGGCTCTACCATTCCTTCAGTTGTGGAAGAAGTTAATGTGTTGACTCAAGAGAGAGATCAAATGTTACATGAGCTCAAGTCTAATTTAGTGAAAGCCCAAGTTCAGATGAAAACTTATGCAGATCAGTCCAGAAGATCAATAAATTCTCTCTACCGGTGATTGGGTTTATCTTAAGCTGCAACCTTACTGATTGAAGTCTCTTGCTAAGAAGAGGAATGAAAAACTGAGTCCTAGGTTCTATGGGCCTTATCAAATAATCAAACAAATAGGACCGGTGGCATTTGAATTGGATTTACCACCAGAGAGCAAAATTCATCCAGTTTTCCATGTTTCCTTACTAAAGAAAACCCTAGCTCCAACAAGCAATCGACAACCTCTTCCGCCAATGCTTTCCGAGGATTTAGAACTCCAAGTATCACCTGCGGCGGTAAGGGCTGTCCCGAATAATGCTAATGGCTCAGCTGAAGTGCTTATTCAATGGCAGGACCTACCAGAATTTGAAGCTACGTGGGAACCTGTGGAAGTCATCAAAGAGCAATTTCCTTCATTTCACCTCGAGGACAATGTGTCTCTTTTAGGGGGGAGTATTGTTAGACCCCTCATAAAGAATACTTATAAGAGGAAGGAGCACCAATAAAGCAAAATAAATGCTGTCAAGTAATAGCAGCAGATAAGCAGTCATGTTAATGGCATCTGTAGCAGTTACAAATTTCTAAAGACAGCAGTTATTATTATTACTAGAGTAACAATTAATATTAAGAACAGTTACAAAACCTAGGCAGAATAAAAGGGGAAACAGAACTGTGTTCTGATCATCCTGAAGTTGTGAGTGTTAGACACTTGGGAGGGAGAGAACCAAGCTCTCGAATCTTGGTGTGTGTCCTAATATTCTGCACTATTTTCTATAACTATTGTAAGCATATTATTCTGGTCCTTTGATTGTCCACCAGAATTATCATCAATAAAGTATCCCTATTCTCCAAATTATTTCTGTTTAGTGCCAATTTCTATCAACATATTAGCAACTAGCAGTTGTTACAAATTAATAAGTACTTTGTACTAGCAAAGGCACTTGTTCTGCAGGTTGTAAAAATAAGTCCTTTATTTCAGTGCACATTACACAATGATATGACAAAATTCATTCGAAAAATAAAAACTTACAGAAAATCTCTAATATATCAAATTTTGATTTCAACAAAAATTCCAGAATGAATGAAATGGATGTAATGGTATGAGTAGATTTATTTTTCTCAGAAATGGCAATTTTATCCTATTGTTTTACTTAGAGCAAAAACAACTGATAATTTTACAAACAAAAGGTGGACGAGAGCATCCATACATATTCTACAAAATGCAGTTGAAAAAACGAATTCCAGAATGGCACACTGCTTGAACTAACTATTTAAAGTTTTTTTATAGCATTTATCTAATTAATGTGTATATCTAAAAAATAAAAGAGTAAATTTAAAGGTCTAGATTTAACAGATGGATGGTTGTGATTAAATGACTACTTAACAGCATTTTAATGGAAGGATATATCGGGGCATTAGTTAAAGAATAGAATTAATAGGGATGGCTTAAGAGTTTAACTATTGGCAGAAGTTCATTAGTTAAAATGGTTGAACTCTTGACTTAGGCCGGACGCGTTTAGATTACTCCGTTCTGTTAACAGAAAATTTTGCAATCAATGTGGAAGAGAGATTTTAACCTAAAATTTATTTTGTGGAACCAAAATATACATTAACAAAATACTAGGAGTTAGCAATGGCTACCAAAAGTAGAAACTTCGTTGGGTTATTGAAACAATACGTAGGAGGAGCTTTTGCTTTATCACACAATTTTCAACTTGTGCTGGGACTATGCTACTTTAGTTTATTACTTAATGTTCTAAAATATCATCATTTAATCACATCATGTGTATCCTGAATGAGTACTAAGGCTCATAAGGTCCTCATAAAATATGAGGTGGACCATTATTTACTTTAACTCATAAAAAAATATGAGGTGGACCATTATTTAAAATTGGGAAAGGAGAAATTACAATTTATTAAAACTGTGCTAATAGCCATTTTAAAACTATCGTGAGGGGGTTAGGATTCTCTCTATTTCTCAAAGAAATGAAAAGTTCCATTTGGAGATAGATACAATGAAGTTGGAAAAACATAAGAAACAACTAATGATGGTGAGACTCGCTTGATCGAGGGACCCACTATCTACCTTTTGTGTCTATATCTCCCATAATGGAGAAGACCCTAACTCATCGTAAGGGGATTTGAACTCTAACCCTTTGAAGTTAAAAGGTCAATGAACAAAATGAGGTGAACCATTGAATTTGATAACGAAAAAAAAAAAGGTTAAATATGATTTTGGTCTATAAATTAAAGAATCTGACTATTGGTCCTCACAAACTTCTAATCCCTCAAATATAAATAATTATCAAACTTGGTCTTTATGGTCAATAGACATTAAAAGTCAAGTTGAGAAGACTCGTGAAAAACCACATAAACATCCTAGTTGACACTCATTGATGCACATGTGATCAGTCAATTTTGCACCTCGTCTTCATTCCTTTCCCTAGCCGCCCTGCCCTAACCCTCGTACTGTATACAAGTTCAATTGCATCCCCTTACATCGTTTCTCCTACATTAAATATCGATGGCAGGACGTGTCGAAGACACGTTGGGAGCATACCAATGACATATCAAAAGAGCACAGAGTTTTTAGTTAAAAATGGTCTTCAATACTCTGCCGACACGTGTTGATGGAAAATCAGAGTGCGTCAGCTTAAAAGAGCATATCAAGTACAGCACGAGAGGACAAATAAAGTATAGATGCATTATAGACGTTTAGTTTCCATATTCCTTAATCATTATCATTTGTTCCCTATTTGATTAGAATTAGGAGTTTAGTTCTAGCATAAATAAGGGTAAGTATCATATCAAACCATAATAACAGTTAAAAGTCTTCATTTTATTCTCTTCCTGTTTACCTGAAACCCTATAACTTCAATGATTGGATTTTGCTAGGATAGAACATGGAAGAGAATATTAATAGCTTTTATGTAAGAAAAGGTCCTTTTGAGCTGATATCATTTTCTTCAAATATTTTTTCCTCCTCTTATTTCATTGCATTAGGAAGAGTTGGTACTCTTCTGTCTTGTAGCCCTCATCTCTTGCTAAAGAACTATTTTAACCAAAGATTCAAAAATTTTACAAAAGCAAGCTCCTTTTATGGCATCTTAACCTCTGTTGTTAATAGTGGCCGGCGCGGCCGCGATAGCGGTGCGACGCGGAAAAACTGGCGTGGCCGCTTCCGGTTGTACCGGTTCGCCACGAAATGATGAAGCGGGTGGAGCGGACGGTATAGCAGGTCAGGTAGCAGGGTCGGGTGCGGTTCAAAGCGGGTGGGGCGGATGGTTTATTTGGTTTGGTTCAAAGAGGTTCGGGTCGAACCGTTTTTCCCTCAATTTTAGAAACCCTAATTCTTTTCTTTTCCTATTCATTCAATCGTGGCTGGTTTTTTTCTTTTCCTCGTTCTTCCTCTTTGCTCATCATCATCATCATCTCGGCTCCTCTTCGGCTCTTCCTCGTCCATCGCTCATCATCATCATCTCTGTTCCTCCATTGCTTCAGCCTTCAGTATTTTGCTTTGTTTTTCTGCTTCTTTCCTCTTCTGCTTCTTTCTTCCTTCTCTGCTTTCTCTTCACGTTCTTATTTTATTGTTGTCTTCTGTTTTTTTTCTTCCAACAGCCATGACAACTCCTCCTACTAATTCTACTCAACCATTATCATCCAAGAAGAATACAAAAGCAAAGCAAACAAGCTCAAATGATGCTTGTGATAAGAAAGCATGAGCGTACATAGCTCGTTTCTTTTATCGGGGAATGGAATTGCTTTCAATGTTGCAAATTAAAAAAATTTCGAATTGATGGTTGAAGCAATTGGTAAGGCAGCTGCACCTCCACCTTCTTCATCTAGATCTAAGCCAAAAGCAAAGGAAGTGGTAGTAGTAGATGATGAATTTGGTGGTCAAGAATATATTGGAGAGGATGAAGAGGATGCTAGTGGCGGAAGAAGTGATGATGAAGACTTAGATTTTAATGATTCTTGAACTTTTAGTAGAGTTTTGATGGTTAGTTATTTTAAGATTTAGATGCTTAAGTGTTTGTTTTCTTGAATTTTATTGCTATTTGGAAGTATGTTGGAATGTTTTGCTTAAGACTTATGGAATTGGAAGTATGCTATTATGTATTTTGAAGTATTTTATTGCTTTAAGGCTTCATGGAATTTGAGTTTTTTTTGGTATTTGCTAGTATGTTTTTAGTGTCCGCATCGCTATAATAGCGCCCGAGCCGCTCCCGTTTTGGGGTTGACTGCGCCACGCTGCGCCCACTCACATTTTAGGGTTGATCGCACCGCGCCGCTTTCTGGGATTAACAACATAGATCTTAACAAATAGAAAGAGATAATACATAAAGTTTATTGCAAGAGTCGGAAAATAAATAGTTCAGTAAACATTTGACTTGGCATAAGCAAATGTCGAGTTCCCACTTTAAAGATGTTAGTTACTAGTTATAGCATCATAGGTAATGCTAAGGAATATTAACTACTTAGCTACTTTAACAAAGACTAGAAAAAAATACATATAGACTATCATTATTCATTGACATGGCCAACATTAAAAATATGGCAGAAGAGCCTATCAAGTATCAAGTGTTTGCCACACCACACACATCAGCTAATGCATAAAAAATCAGAGAAAAGTTATTAAAAAAGAACCAAAACAAAGAAAGAAATACAAATCAACAATAAATTCCTCCAACATGAAGATGTAAAACACAATGCACTTACCTTGCAATTGTCCTTTTCTTCCGGCAACCCTCAAATCATTGACCAATGAACCAAGTTTAGAAATTTCAGTACTATCAAATAAATCATCATACAACTTCAATCCTTCAACCACATTAACCTAGAGATTAAAACCAAATGCACCATAAAATAGACATAAAAGATAGAAAAATGATGAAAAGATGACAAAAAAGAAAGTTATTTAAAAGATCCTACCGTCTTCCCATCGAATATCTCATTGCTAACATAAGTTTTTCCTATGGTAGAACCATTTTCGTTCTGGTGTTGACTTTGCATAGAAAGTGAATCATTTTCTGAAAAACACATTGTACTAGAGTATCAATATGATGGAAAACATATATCAGACCAATCTTCACAGAAAACTACATGTATAAGGTGACTCTGATCCTATAGTTAATTAGATGGTATGTGAAAGCTAACAAGGTAGCGTAAGAAACTAGAGATTGATATTTTTTGCTGTTAGAATCCAAGATAATATAGTATTTACTGTATGCCAAAAATTCCTGTATAAACTTCCTGTATATATATATATCATTATTCAAGACATAGTCAACAGGAATAAAACCTCCAGACTTTGATGCACATTCTTCATTTACATCCACAGCTTTACATTCTGCACTGGACAGTGATCCTTGAGAATTCCCAGAGCTCTTCAAAATGACATCAGATTGATGATTTGTTACAGTATCTGCTCAAGCAACCATTAGATGAAAAAATCAAGATGGCTTCAAGCAAAGAGAAAGTATTCAAAAACTCAAACTCTGAAATGTTAATTTTATCAGGTCTGAAGTCATGTATTTAAATACTGATCAAATATTCACGTTATTGTAGTATAATACACATCATAGTTTTAAAATCCAGTTTGCAACATTGCATTCAAGAGGCCTACAATGATCTCCACAATTGCAGTTCAAAACCACAACACATAAAGTTCAGATCATAAGAATAAATATTGGATAAAGCTGCAAAGAACGATATCACCTATAAATCCACTATTAACTATGTTTTAGTACAATCAGTGTTGTCAATTGTGGATTGCAGAAAATAAATATTTGTCCAAATTCTGATATACCACAGCGCTACCGCTGCACATCAACGATTTACTCAAATTCTTCTATACTGGCGCTATAGTGTCCCTATTTGGCAACACATGGTGTAATGAATATCACAGTTTCAAATAGTGATTTACAACAGCAAGCAACTGTGTGACCCTAACATTGTGGTTTAATTAATGGCCTCCTGTTACTAAATCTATGATCATAATTCATAACCACAATTCAAAACTACTAGTCAGATAATTCAAAAGACCCGTCATTTACCTATATTCTCCTCAGTAGTGTCTGAACTCTTATCATCCTTACTTCCAACTTTACCACCAGATTTAAGTTCTTCACTCTTATCAACTACTTGAGACCCTTTTACAGCGGAATTCCCTTCCCAACGCCGAGACTCAACACTAGAATTACTACCCTCCTTACCATTAACAGGCTCAAATCTCTGCCATTGCCTAACCTTCCTAAACTCCTTAACAACCGGCTTAACCGGCCTCTGCTGCCTCCTCCACGCCACCTGCTGTAAAGCATACCCAACCTCAGAAACCGAATAGTACTGCTGCATAAGAAGCACCTGAGTCCAATTAACCCTCCTCTGCTCAATCGCACCTACAACAAAATCATACTCACCACCCTCACCCACAACACGCAAATGCTGAACAAGACAATCTATAATCGCGTTCGCAGCCGCGAACTCGCTGCGAAGCCAGTTCATAAACCCGTCTCTCTCATCAACAAACCACTGTTGCGGTTGTGGCCTGTACTGCATCTCACCGCCGGTAACAACTGCCGGAAAATGCTTAATCTCCGGTGTTACTGCATTTCCCATTGGCATTGCCATGAAAAACAACTCACTAACTAGAAATTCACAATTAATCTATTAAATTTTCACAATCTACTACAAACAGGTACAAGATTATACTACCAGAACGTGAATCAATGGTAATGGGATGAGAAATTAGGGTTTTCTGGAAGAGAAGAGTGTGAATTGTGAGATCTGAGAATGGAAATTCAAAAGGAAATGAAATGAAAAAGGAAAGTGTGATGGTTGTTGAGTAATGAGAAGAAAGAAGTTTGGTGGAGAATGAAGATCTAGGGTTAAGATTGTTTCATACGCTTTCTTTTCTTATTATTATTTTTCTATTATATAGTACATATTTAATTTTTGAAAACACGGAGTACATTTTATTAAATCACGGTAATACCGATAAATGAACTTTTATACGTTTTAAAATAATTTTCGTTTAAAATATTTTTACATACAAATTAAAGAATATAATAATATTATTATAAATTATTTATGTTTTTGTAAAATTAATTTTATTAATATATTAAAAGTAGTATAGATTAAAAAATAAATGGCACAATTAAAAAAATAATCATTATTACTATATTGAAAATTAAAAGTGACAGTTATTTTAAAATAAAATTTATTTGTTAAAACGACAATCATTTTGAAACAGAATGAGTAGTTTATATGCTTGTATAACATTTTAAACTTGTTTGGTAATAGTATTTTGATTACTAGCTTATAATTTATTTTATTAGTTTACAGTTTATGTTTTAAACGCTATTTCAAATAATATTTTGACTTATGATTTATAATTTATTATTTTTTCTTCTTTTTTTATTTTTATTATTTTAACACAAAAATTCACTTTTATCGTCTATAATTTATTTTAATTTAAAATAAAATAATTATATATTAAATATATTTTAAGTTATTTTACATTTATAAGTTAGTTGAACGGTTAATTTTGTCAAACACTTCAATTAACTATCAGTCTCAATTATTAATTATAAGATATAAGTTATCAGTCATCAACCATTAATTATAAGTCTCTTTATCAATCAACCACTATTTTTACCAAATAAATCTTTAATGTCTTAAAAATTAAAATGGTTAAATTTTTTATAGAATATTTTCTTTTTTTGCAATGTTTAAAGAATGCCATAAGGGCAGTGGTTAGTAGCACCCTTAAATTATTTTATAATTTTTAAAATAAAGATTTGAACATAAAGAAAACACTCTCAAAACTCAAACTTTAACTACTAGACCACGCATACACACCTTTGAGTATTTATTTTAATTCAATGTTTGGGTAAAATAAATCAAATTTTATTTTTGTTTTGTTATTTAGACTTTTCTTTTTTTAACAATAGATTATGGTCTGTAATTTGGACTTTTAGATTGTTGAAAAAAAAAAAAAGAATGGACTTTTGGAAATTTGAAAATTTAGATTCACATTAAGATGGCTGAAAAATATCTGCAAAAAAATTCACATAAAAAATCTATATAAATATAAGATCGATATTTCAAAAAAAATAGTATTTACTACATTTTAATTATTTGATATATTATACAAAGAGGGTATGGATAATATTCGTTTTTATTAGTAAATAAGTAAACTAGTAAAATATTTATTAATTAAATATAAATATAAAGAAACACTAACATGATTTTCTAGTTTATGTTTATTGTATTTTGGTGTTTGTTTATGTTTAATAATAATATTGTGTCAAAGTAAAAATAATAAACTAATCTTTATATGCGTTGTACTTATTTGTGATATCTTACAAGAATTTTACATAATTATAAATACAATAATAATTATTTTTATACAGATTAATATATTAAAAAATTTCAAATATTTGTATAACAAATAAATATGAAAGACGTGTTTGGATTGATACTCGATAGAATTGATTCTTACAGAAATTGAAATTGATAGAACTAATTTTAACAAAATTGAATTTTGTTGAATTAATTTATATTTGGATATATTTATGTAAAAGTGAGTTGATCAATAAATTATAATATAAAAAAATCATTTTGAATTAATTCTCGAGATAAAAATTATAAATTCTAACTTTAAATTAAGTCAATTTTAATAACATAATTATTTCTATTTTTAAAAAACTAAACAGAATAAAATTACTCAAAATCAATTATATATTTTTATAATTAATTCTAGATCTTAAAAAAAGAAAAAGAAAATATACAAAAATCACTTTTAAAAGCAACTAATTTATAATCATTATTCATCCTCGTATATAGATGTGTCTGAATATCACATATACGTTAATTTAAAAATTAAAAAAGATTATTTTTAATTTGACATATATAATTTATGAGTGACTCACAAATGAATACCTATTTAAGAAGATTGCAAATAAATTCTTGGGATTATAAATATTTTAATTAACCTTATTAAATTTATAAATTTGGTTTTTACATTTAACTAATTGTTATTTATTAGATTCTTGTATTTCAACAACTTGTTATTTATTAGATTCTTGTATTTCTACTGTACTTGATTTTGTCTTTATATCGAGTCATTTATTAGTAGTATTATTTTAGTATCTAATATTTGTATTTAATTGACATTCAACTTTTAAAAGAATTTTTATAAGTATAAATTTGACTGGAAAAAAAAAACTTGGTTAAAGAAAAAAATACATAGAATAACATCTTTCATCTTATAAGTCAAATTTTATTGAATTATTATTATTTTATCTCTTTGTTATATAGGTCATTTTATATTTATTCCAGTAAATTTTATTTTTTTAAAAATAATTTTACTATTTCAAAAAATTAACAATTTAGTTTTAAAGTCAAAATTCACGGGTAAATTCGTAAAAAAAATTATAGAAAATCTGTAAATTTACGTTCGAATTTTAACTTTAAAGACTAAAATATTAGTATTTTGAAATGATAATATTATTTTTACAAAAAAAAAAAATTTATAGGAGATAAATTAAAAATAACTTATATAACAGAGAGTAAAAGTGATAATAATTCAATTTCATTTATATTATATTATTACAAATCTATCGATTTACAAATATTGGGCACAAGGAATGTAATGAAAAAACTAAATTTCACATCATCTATACTCATATACTCATGCATCAAACTCAACAATTTTTAACGTTAAACTCTAATTCTATTTTGATAATAAAACTTTAAAAAAAAAAAAAAACATAATCTCAATCACATATTTGAAAGCACCCTACAAAATCAAAGACGTGTTTTATAGTTTAGTTATCAACTTAGCATTTTTTATATTATTAGAAAAACTTGAAAGAAAGAAATTAAGGTAAGCGGCGCCTAAATACATAAGACTTGGTCAGCATGCATTTGCACTTAAAGTCTTAAGTTTTAAATGCACCAAACCTCACTCTTTTGTCATTTTGTCAATGGTGAGAGAGAGGTTTTGATTTCGACTTTAATAACAAATAATGACGTTGTGAAAATTAGTATACATAAATGGATGCTTTTAAGTGTAATATACTATTAACTTCAATCACATGCCTTGTCTTTACGGGTTGGGTAAACTTAATCAACTTAACTTTAATGTTTTTATAAAGTTGAGAAATTAAATTAATCTTAATGTTTTTATTATGAATTTGTGAAGTAAAATGTTTTTATATTTCAAAGAGTTTCGATTTATGATAAATTATTTTAAATTAGTTTAAATTTATATGCAAGGTGTGAAAATACTTATTTAGGTGCAAAGGCTTTTTTTTTTGGTGCAAAAGTTAAAAGAATATTTGAATCTTCTTAACTTATTCCATAAGTCAACAATTGGTAGTTACGAGAATAAATCATCAATGTACATTTTCTTTACCAAGTAATTTTCCTTCAAACATTTGTTTTTTAAAATAAAAATTGCACCCACATTTTTTACATTTCTATAAGTACTTTTTTTTAAGGGAGAGATTTCAAAAAGTATTTAATTATGAAACTTTAAAAAATAATTAAGCTAAAACAGTTTTTTTAATACTTAAGATTTCGGTCTAAATGCAAGATTTAAAAACAACTATGTTTCAGTCTAAATACAAAAAAATTGAAGGACATTAACATTATGAGAAAATAATAGATTATTCAATCAAAATAAAGATAAAATTGATATTGATTACAGATGATTGAAATCAGGTATTTCATCTTAAAAATATATTTTATTATCAACAATCACTAATTTGAGAATTTGAGTGATTGTAGGTACTCCTATGACGTCGGTCTAAATTTGGAGTATATTATTCTCAAAATTCACTCATATTTGACTCATTTTTCACTTCATGTGAGCAACTTTGATCTTTGCAAGATCATTGGTGTTTGTTATTATGATTTATTGACAAATTTTTATAGGCAATATGTTAAGCAAGATGTTTTAACTTAAACAAGACAGTTCATTTCAAGTTGTTTATTTGTCGCACATGTTTTAATGGATTTGAATTTCATTTTAATAAGATTGTTTTCTTTTTGGTTCAATCAAATATTTTATTTAAAGTTTGTGCTTGTTTGAAAAAGATTTTATTCTTAATCATTTATTGATACTCAAAGATTGGAATTCTTATTATATCAAATTATGATTTAATTAGATTTTGATTTACTCAAGATTCAGAATTGACATTATCAGGATTGGTCATTATCACTGCAACATTTTTATCTTATATCAACACCTAGTTTTTGGGAGGTAAAAATATTGTTCTCGTAGATTGTAATAAGCAACAAATTTTATAGTTAAAATGTTATAGTGTATTGTGCTTTTTAGAATCCAATTGTTTTCGTGCCAAAACCCTATTGGGCTTTTATGTTGGATGTCGTTTCTATTTAAGGAGGTGTTCTACCTCATGTGAAAACTCAGATCTTGTATTTTGAAGTTTGGTGTTTTATAGTTTTTCATTGAGTCTTTTATTTGGACTTGTAATACTTTATCCCAAGGTTATCTTTATAAGTTAGAAGGATATAGTATTTGCATTGTAAGTGTGATTTATCACTTCATATATTTATATAATCATACAAACACTTGAGAGAATGTTTGAATGAAAGTGATA